AACCACAACTTTTTTTTTTTGAAGTTCTTACAACACGAAAATGGAGGGGACACACCTGGGTGGGAGGGGGGAGAGGGAGGAGGGAGGGAGGTTTCGGTGATGGGACACAATAACTAACTACATTGTATATTGACAAAATAAAAAATAAAAAAATAAAAAATAAAAACGTAAGCATAAAATATCGACATGCAAGCAAGTAAAGAGAGAGAAATGAAAGCTCAGCCTTGTACTGCAAAATGTAGTTGTTTTTTAATAAAATTGATTTGGATCAATTTGGGATAAAAAAAATAAATAAAAATAAAAATAAAATAAAATAAATTTTACTAAAAAAAGAAAAAAAAACAATGCATTCATAGATCTTAATATTGATGCCTCCAGTGGATCTTTCTAAAAATTTTTTTATTATTTAATTTTTTAAAAATTTTAACTTCTCAGTATACCTCGTAGTTAATTTTCATGTCCCTTTACCCATTCCTCTTCCCCCTTCTTCTCTCTCCTCTTCCCCACTACATCATATCTGTTTACTTGTTGTAACAAGTTCAAGGAATGGTTGTGATTGTTGTGTCTTCTTTCCCCCTTTATTTGTTTGTGTGTTTATTTATTTATTTATTTTTAGTTCCCACAAATAAGAGAGAACATGTAGTATTTCTCTTTCTGTGCCTGACTTGTTTCACTTAATATAATTTTCCCTAAGTCCATCCATGTTGTTGCAAATGGTAGTATTTCATTATTTTTTATAGCAGAGTAGAATTCCACTGTGTAGATATACCACGGTTTCCTTATCCACTCATCTGATGATGGACATTTGGGCTGGTTCCAACTCTTGGCTATTGTAAATAGTGCTGCAATAAACACTGGAGTACAGGCATCCCTTTGGCATGATGATTTCCATTGCTCTGTGTATATTCCCAGCAGTGGAATAGCTGGGCCATATGGTAGATTTACCTGTAATTGTTTGAAGAACCTCCACACCATTTTCCATAAAGGTTGCACCATTTTGCAGTCTCACCAACAGTGTATGAGAGTTTCTTTTTCTCCATAACCCCAGCAGCATTTATCATTCTCAGTCTTTTGGATATTAGCCATCCTAACTGGAGTGAGATGGTATCTCAAAGTGGTTTTGATTTGCATTTCCTGAATGCTGAGTGATGTTGAGCATTTTTTCATGTGTCTGCTGGCTATTCGTATATCTTCCTTTGAGAAATGCCTATTCAGCATTTTTAAATTGGGTTATTTGTATTTTTGTTGTAAAGTTATTTGAGTTCCTTGTATATTCTGGGTATTAATCCTTTGTCAGATTTATATTTTGCAAATATTTTCTCCCACTCTGTTGGTTGTTTTTTCACTCTGTTGATTGTTTCTTTTGCTGTGTAGAAACTTTTTAGTTTGGTATAATCCCATTTGTTTATTTTTCCTTTAGTTTCCTGTGGTTTTCGGGTCTTATTCATGAAGTCCGTACTTACTCCTACTTCCTGGAGTGTTTACCCTGTGTATCCTTTAAGGAGTTTTATTGTTTCAGGATGTTTATTTAATTCTTTGATCCATTATGAAATATGGTGAGAGGTATGGGTCTAGTTTCATTCTGCTTCATGTGAATATCCAGTTTTCCCAGCACCATTTGCTGAAGAGGTAGTCTCTTCCCCAGTATGTAGACTTGGTGCCTTTGTCAAAGATCAGGTGGCTGTTGGTGTATGGGTTGATTTCTGGGTTCTCTATTCTATTTCATTGATCTGTGTGTCTGTGTTTATGCCAATACCATGCTGTTTTGGTTATTATAGCTTTGTAATATAGTTTAAAGTCAGGTAGCATTATGCCTCCAGCTTTTTCTTTCTTTTTTGCTCAAGATTGCTTTGGCTATGAATGTTCTTTTGTTATTCCATATAAATGTCTGGATAGTTTTTTTCCATTTCTGAGAAAAATGTCATTGGAGTTTTTATGGGGATTGCATTGAATCTGTAGATCACTTTGGGTAATATGGACATTTTCACAATGTTAATTCTTGCAATCTAAGAGTATGGGATATTTTTCCTTCTTCTTGTGTCCTCTTTAATTTCTCTTAACAGTGGTTTGTAGTCTCATCACAGTGATTTTTCACATCCTTCGTTAACTTTATTCCTAAGTATTTTATTTTTTTGGTGGCCATTATAAATGAGCTAGCTTTCTTAATTTCTTTTTCTGTATGTTCTCTGTTGGAGTACAGAAATACTACTGATTTTTGTTTGTTGATTTTGTATCCTACTAGCTAACAGAATAGAGCCACACATACACAAAATTATACACCACAATCAAGTGGGATTCATCCCAGCAATGCAAGGTTGGTTCAACATACACAAATCAATAAATGTGATACACCACATCAATAAAAGTAAATACAAAAACCATATGATCATCTCTATAGATGCCAAAAATGCATTTGACAAAATTCAACATTTTTTCATGATAAAGACTCTCTAAACATTAGGTATAGATGGAAAGTATCTCAACACAATTAAAGCCATATATGAAAAGCCCACTGCCAATATCATCCTGAACAGGGAAAGGCTGAAAGCTTTTCCCTCAAGATCAAGAACTAGACAAGGATGCCCACTCTCACCACTCCTATTCAACATAGTGTTGGAAGTACTAGCCAGAGCAATCAGAGAAGAAAAGGAAATAAAGGACATCCAGATTGGAAAAGATGAAGTCAAACTGAAGTCAAAAGTCACCCTGTTTGCAGATGTTATGGTCCTATATACTGAACAGCCTAAGTCCGCTACAAAAAAACACTTTGATAAATGATTTCAGCAAAGTTACAGGATACAAAATCAACACAGAAAAATCAGTAGGATCTTTTAAATATGGGAAAACTTCGTGAAAAAGAGTGCAGAAGATTTGGACTGAGAGTATTTTAAGGGCAGATGTTAGCAATTAGCTGATATTCTGACTCTAATTCCCCTATTCTTTTCATTGCAAGTAATTCTCAATTCTAGCTAATCATCAGAAGCATCTGGGGAAGTTTTCACGGTACTGATTCCTGGACCCACCCCTAAGCTGACCTAAAAATCATTGGCTCTAAGAGTGGGTATAAGATTCAGCATTAAAAAACAAACAGACAAACAAACAAAAACCTTTCCTGGCCATTCTTATGCAAACAGCCTAATACTGATTCACAGATCAGATTTAGAACGACTCATCACACATTTGCCCAACTGAATTGGTAAATGCTTAATAAATATTTGCTAAATTTTAGAAGAGGAAAGTTTGGTGAGGTGAACACTATTATAAAAGATATTTAATCCTTTATTTATGTGGCATGATCTTTTAAAAAAGCATTGATGCCAGGGTTCAAATATCCAGAAACCTGACTTAGTTCATGGGCAAATCACTTAAATTCTCTTGGTCCAAGTTTTCTCATTTGCAAAATATTGAATTTAAAATAAATAATTTTAGGGCCTTTGAAGCTCTAAAACTCCATTACCTAGATTCTATAAGTCTGCACATCAGGGCCTTTCCTCATAAAATTAAAGAAGGTTTCACTTCTTGAAGGAGTATTTGGATAACAATATATTTTTGTGTATGTATGATAACTTATTAGTACAGTATATCCATGTCAGACTGTAATAGGTTTCTGGTGGCCAGTTTTTCTTTGACCTTATACTCTTTAATATTTTTATCACTTAACTAAACAATGTGTTTATATATATATATATATATATATACATACACATATTTATATATATATATGTGCATATATATGATATAATGTTCATTGAATTTGTTAAGGCACAAAGCTGAATAATACATAAATGTTTTGCAGCCATATTATACATACATTACATATATTGGAAAAATGCACATAACCATAGTCTACCAGAAGAGAATCCAAATTTCAGTGCTTTTGCAAGTTGCAGAAGAGGCAATATAAAATCAGAACATGGACTTGGGTGGGGGGCAGAGTGCTTGGTTTCAAACTCCTCTTCTGCATTTGCTACCTGAATAACTTCAAAAAATTTGGTTCACCGCTTTGTGTTTCAATTTTACCATCTGTAAAATTAAGATAACACTAATGCTTACTTAAATGCCTATTAAGATTTAATATACCAAAATTAGCACACAGCCTGGTACATTTTAAGTTTTATATCCATTTTAACTACTAAATATTATTTAAAAGTCCTTGCCTTTTACATGGGAACCTTATGAGCTTATATGGTCTAGAAGGACTATGCAGCTACTTACATTCTTGGCTAAATACCCTAAGCCCAATGCCCCACCCCCCAATAATCTGAGGATATCCTCTGGAATCAAATGCACTCTCCTGAACTCTGCGAATTCCTGGGCTTTATTGCCTTCTATATGAAAAAGTCCACATCAATTCTTATTGTTAATTAGGTAATATATGCCATAGCCAGAGCACCTCACATTCATGTCATAGGAACCAATTTTATCACCCTACTGGTGTGGTGAAAGTTTACACAAATGCCCTGTAATTTACTTACAACTTATCAACATAATGCCAAGGCTATGGGATAAAACACACATTCATAAACTAGCTTTTTAGACAGCATGGTGTGTTTTATGGACTCCACATGGTTTTACAGAATGCTAATTTCTGTAACTTTGATTTTCATCTTAACAAAAAAACAGTAGTATATGCAGTTTAAAAGTCTTGTGGGATGTCAAGTTGATTTACAATGTTTTTAATTTGTTTAGTATATTATGATTCTGTTGTACAATAATACTTATCTTCAGTGAATTAAAGATACACTTATGGTTTTATCATTAATTTTGAATATTCACTTGTTTGATAAATAAATCAAGACCATGTCTGAGGAAGTTTCAAATAACACATTTTAGTCTTTTAATTGCTTCTTTCTTCTTTGGTAGAACTCCACAAGAGCAACTTCTTAACGTACTACCGGATAAACTCATACATTCGTGTAAAACCACTAGTGAGGCACAATGTCCTCAGAATGAAAGTGATGAAGACAGTGATGGTTAGTTCAGTCTTGATTAGATATTTTCAAATTTATATTTCCAATTATAAACACTAAGAACTAATCAGCATCTGCTTTTCGTTTTCTTTAATGTATCATTCGCAAATAGACTATGTAATCCTTATCTCCCGATCAAAATCATGCATGCTTTCTTCTTTCCACTTTCTAGATTTACTTTGCCTTAATTTAAATAGTTTCACTTAAAAATTGAATGCTAAGAAAATGTGTATTTCACTTGAGCTGGAGAAATTGGCAGTATTTATATCTTTGTGTGGATGTGCAGAAGAACACTATCCTTTTATTGTTAGTCATATTATTTGAAGAATGAAAATTATCAGGTAAGGTATTTTATTTGATGATATTATTTTCAAATATTATTTCACAGTTGACGAAACCAAAATACAACACCCAGCTCTTTTCCTGCCAGTAGAAGAATTAAACACAGAGAGACCTGAACCATCCGTAAAGATAGTTGAACTGGATGATGTAAGTGCACAATGACCATTCACATTCCTCAACAAACAGGAAATTCATAACATTTAGTTATAGTTACATATTATTTTTAACAAGCTTTCTTTCATAATTCAATATAGCTTAATAGGAAATTTACAGGTGTTTAAATTTGAACACGCTAAGAATAAAACAGCATTATCTTAATGTAGAGAGTAAATTTATGAGCTGAACTGGTATTGCCAATTTTTTGGAAGCATGCAGTATGGGAGGTCAGATGACAATTGCTATTTGAACTTACAGAAGTGCACTTTGATGTTTCATTAATTTTGATCTTTATGTTATCAGGTTTTTTAGTCCCATTACATGGTATCTATTTAATAAAGTTTAAGTGCAAATTTAGTTTCTTTAATGTCACTTAATATTATTTTCTGTTTAAAGGAAGAAAAAGTTTTTCAGTTTTAAGAGGTTTAGTATAATAATAACTTGGACACAAACCCCTAGAAGACACCAGCAGAATCAGCTGGAGCTAGAACCAGTCCAAGCCGGAACTCTGGATTGAAGGTTTATGGTGTGACAAACACTTTCTAGTCATCTGGTAGCTAAATATTCCACTTGTCCTAGATATTTTTCTTACTGTGGTTGTCACATAAAATGACTAGAATGGAGAAAATACCTCTTTAAATACTGCTCTCTTCTTCAGGTTGAGATGTTGATAGCTTCTGCTTTTTTTTGTTTTTGTTTTTTTGTTTTTGGCCCAGTGACATTTTTAATTCTCCTCTGAATGAAATTGAGATATTGTTGATACCTAGAGTAAGCTTACGATGTGCCAGTAAGAGAACCAGTAGCCTCCTAGTCACTAATCTACTTGGCAGTTAGTAGCTACGTAATTAAGTATAAATTGTCATTGTTGATTCTGGGTGTGATAGTAGTGATAAAGTTACTGACACATCAAATAACCACAAAGTATCAGTTGAGTTGGTTTAGTTCTCCTAGAACTCATATGTTATGGAATATACCTAGAATTCTCATGACACCATTTGTAGGAAGAAAGTACTCTATGTATCACTCACAAGTAAGCTGGTTAATGTATAATAAATTTATTGAACATACTAATATTATATAACATACATTTAATAAGACTTATGAAGAGGGATTTGAAGAACCGGGGAACGCTGTGCCTTACAAAGTTGAATTAGCCAATGCAGACAGTCAGCAAAGGTAAGATCTTTCTCATTCACTTTGGATGCTTATTAAAAAACCACAAAAGAAATCAACTATCTCTTTAAATGCGAAGTTAATGGTGTCAGAAATAACTTTAATGTTAGAGTATATTTTACTTAAACCATGTTTAAGTTTGTGTATAATATTGCTAATATGTATCAACATTCATCAATTAGAAAATCATCTTAGTGATATGTATATTCTTCCCTAATATTTGGGTTATTTAGTAGATTCTTCTGAATTTAGGAATTGTTATTATTTGTAACATTTGGCCAAGTATGATATATTTTATATGAGTTTTCTTCTTTTCTATTTTGATTAAAAATAATTAACTTCAGTAAACCGTGTAATGAAGTTCCTGTTAAATAGCCCCTATATTAATTCTTTGTTCAGATCAGCTTAGACCCCTGTTAGCATTTTGCAATAGCTGTGGGCCTAAGTGATGCCCTTGGACCCATAGAGCCCCATGTTTGGACACATAGACCCAGATATCTAGTAGCAAATGTGCTTTTGACAGCAGGGTTTTGGAAGGAGACAACTTTGTAGTCAGGAGTAAGAGGTTTATATCTACTAGTATCCCCAAGGAAATGAATGGCATTTCTGTTCCCTAATTTGATTCTTTTATATATCTTATCACATGTCTGTGCTTTGACCCTGACACAGTGTTAGAGGAGGTGGAGAAAGTTACTGATTATGGTTTGGCAGTAGTTTTACAGCTTTGGTTTGGAGGTACCCATAGAACTACATTAACTTTATCTCCCTCCTGGGTTCATGAGTGACACAAGAAGACCCTTTTGGTCAAGTATATATAATCCATGAGTTTTATGATGGTATTACATAGAGCTTACATAAATATCAGATATTATTAAATACATTATTCAATTAATAGAGAATGTTCTTTAAATTTCAACTACACTTTTAAATAGTAATCATTACTAAAAGTTGAAATACCAAATACTGCTTTTTATGTCTTATAGCTCATTGATGAACCTTCATTTCATCAGATTTCAATGAGCTCAAGATATAATTTTTCATTTTTAGAAGAAAGAATGTGAGAAATCGAACATTTCAAGATGTTTTGGAAAGGAACTTTCAGTTGAAATTTTACAGTTAAATTGAATTTGGTCCAGTTATCTATTTCTTTTAAATCCATAGCACTATTTACTTACAGTTTAGCATGTGTTCATGGTAAGGTGAAAACAAATATTAAATTAACATAAATAACCTATTTCGTTAAGGTTTTACTATACCTGTTTTAATAAATTGGGTCTTTTTCTCTTCTCTTTTTGTACTTTTTAAAAACTCTATTCTTTTCTTTATCTCTAAACATGAAAGTTGTCCATTTTATAATTATCAGAAGAATAGTTTTCCATATGAAAATGACATCCATCAACATCATGTTTTCACTAAGGGAAAAAGAGACATCTTAGATCTTAGTCTGAGAAACACCTCTACATATTGTAAAGATAACTCAAAAGGTAACTTTTTATTGTTGTTTAATATTATTAACAATGAATGTTGCTAATTTAACGAAACCAGTAGGGATTGCAGCCTATAAAAGCTTGGCTGTTTATGCTGTTCATTTTAAAACCAGAAAATTTATTCTCAGAAAAAAATTGGTTGAAAATATGTAATTTTCTGGCAAATACTCTTTATAGTCAATGGACAACAGTGTTTGTATATGTAATAAAATCAGCCAATTTAGGATTATCTAAAAGTTATTATGGACTGAGCTAGCATTTAAAAGATTTTAGTAACAAAATTATGACTGATACCCTGATCCCCTCATTTACATTGAATCTTTCCCCCAAATATTCAAATTTGATGTAAAGTTTTATGCAAGAGATTAAACCTAAACAAAACAAATCATCTTGTTTATATTTCTATGTTATTACTAGTAGTTCCCTTGAGATCTGTAGATTAGAATGCTATGTGAAAATCTGTTTTTAGTTTCTAGATTGTGAAATCATCATTTAAAGACAGTACAGCAAAGTATCCCAGCTAGAAATCAGATTTTGTTTCCATATATGCCTTTACTGTGCACCATTGAATATGCCACTTATTTTTTTAGACCTCATTTTCCTAACTTAAAATGTAGGAACTAGATACTTTCTAATCTTTCTTTCAAATGTTATATTTGATCTACATAGGATTTTAAGAAAAACCAATAAATATATCTTATGTGAAAATTTTGAGAGATACCAGAGGGCATTATTTAAAGTAACTAGTTGTAAAACTCACGATTACCTTCTGATTGGGCAGCAGATGGTAGAGAACAGTGGTAGATCTGTGGTAATTCTGTTGGTCTTGCCATTTTCAACTACTAGGCCTCTAAATCATGTGGCCAAGTGTAAACTATACCTACATGTGAACTTAGGACTTTACAGGGATCCAGATCTGATCTAGAATGTGAGTGTTGCTTGACCAAGCTAGATCATGGTGTTCCAGTTACCTGTGGGAAAATGGTGAACATAAATATCTGTGTAAGTGTTACTTTAAATATATATTTAAAAATTTTTAGCTTGTAGAGAATTTTTAGGTACACAGAAAAATTGAGCAGAAAGTGCAAAGAGTTCCCATACACACTTTGCTTCCACACATGCTCAGCTTCCCCCACTATCAACATCCCACATCAGTGGGATGTTGATAAAGTCCTAATATTTGTTACTGTTGATGAATTTTGTATTGATATATTATCACCCAAAGTCCACAGTTTACATTAGAGTTCACTCTTGATTTTGTACATTCTGTTTTGACAAATGTATAATGACATGTGTCCACCATTTACAGTATTATAAGGACATGTTCTCTGCCCTAAAAATCCTCTGTGCTCCATCTGTTTACCCCTCCCGTCCCCCAATTCATGGCAACCACTGATCTTCTTACTATCTCCATAGTTTTGCCTTTTGTAGAATGTCATAGAGTTGGAATCCTACAGCCTGCAGCCTTTTCAGATTGGCTTCTTTTACTTAGCAATTGTATTTTAGTTTCTTCCATTTTTTCATGACTTGATAGCTCATTTCTTTTTAGAGCCAAATATTTCACTGACTGAATGTACCACAATTTGTTTATCCATTCACTTATCGAAGGACATCTTGGTTGCTTCCAAGCTTTGGTAGTTATAAAGAAAGCTGTTGTAAACATCCATATGTGGGTTTTTGTTTGAACATAAGTTTTCGACTCATTTGGGTGAATACCAAGGAGCATGATTGTTGGATCATATGGTGAGAGTATCTATAATTTTGTAAGCAATTGCTAAAGGGGTCTGCCAAAATGGCAGTATCATCTTGCATTCCTACCAACAATGAATGAGAGTTCCTGTTGCTCCATCTCCTCATCAGTTATTGGTGTTTTCAGTGTTTCAGGTTTTTGCCATTTTAATAATTGTGTAGTTATGTTGTATTGATGTTTTAGTTTGCCATTCCCTAATGACATATGATGTTAAAAATCTTTTGATGTGCTTTTTTGCATCTGTGTGTCTTCTTTGTTGAGGTATCTGTTTTAGTTTTTTTTGCCCATTTTTTAATTGGGTTTCTACACGTTGTTATCATTGAGTTACGAAAGTTCTTCGTATATTTTGGATAACAATCTTTTATCAGATACATCTTTCCCAAATATTTCTCACAGTCAATGGATTGTCTTCTTACTCTCTTGATAGTGTTTTTCACAAAGCAGAAAGTTCATCATTTTAGTGAAGTTTAGCTTATGTCTTTGGTGTTGTGTCTAGAAATCCATTGCCATACCCAAGGTCATCTAGGTTTTCTCATATGTTACCTTATCAGAATTTTATAGTTCTGTGTTTCACATTTAAGTTTTTGATCCATTTTGAGTTAGTCTTTGTGAAGGGTATAAGATCTGTGTCTAGGTTTATTTTTTTTATGTTTTGCACATGGATATCCAGTTGTTCCAGGACCATTTGTTGAAAAAACTACTTTTTCTTCTGTGTATTGCCTTTGCTCCTTTGTCAAAGATCAGTTGACTTTATTTATATGGGTCTATTCTGGGCTTTCTCTTCTGTCTCAGTGATATATTTGTCTATATTTCTGCCAATTCCACACTGTCTTGATTACTGTAGATTTATAGTAATTCTTGAAGGAAGGTAATGTCAGTCCTCTGATTTTGTTCTCCTTCACTATTGTGTTGGCTATTTTGGGTCATTTGCCTCTCCATATAAACTTTAGAATCAATTTGTTGATATCTACAAAATAAGCTGGGATTTTGATTGGGACTGTGATAAATCTACAGATAAAGTTAGGTATAACTAACATCTTGACAAAATTGAATCTTCCTATCCACAGATATGAAATATATCTCTATTTATTTAGTTCTTTGATTTCTTACATCAGAACTTTGTAGTTTTCTCATATAGATCTTGTATTAGTCCATTTCTGTTGCTTGTAACAAAACACTTGAAACTGGATGATGTATAAAGAAAACAAAATTTATTGCTTACAGTTTCAGAGGCTAGGAAGTCCAAAATCCAGTGAACTCATCTGGCAAAGCCTTTCTTTAGTGGTGACTTCAGAGTATCACACTGTGAAATGGTGGAGCAGGGAGAGAGCAGAGCATACCCTCCTTATACACTCTCTTTTTAAAGCCCTCAGAACCTCACCCCTGACCACCATTATTGATCTATTCACTACCGCATGGTCCTACAATCCAAACACCTCTTCAAGGCTCTACCTTTCAATTACCATAGTAGGATTTCCCACCCCCTTAACAGTCACAATGGGGGCTAAGTTTCTACTACATAAAACTTGGGGGACACAATTCAAGCTTCAATGAGTTTTAGGGGGACATAATTCAATCCACTACAGATCTTGTACATATTTTGTTAGATTTACACCAAAGTATTTCATTTTCTGTGTTGCTAATATAAATGGTTTTGTGTTTTAAGTTTTAAAACTACTTATTTGTTACTGGTATATAGGAAAGTAATTGAATTTTTTCTGTTAATCTTGTATCCTGTAACCATGCTATAGTTGCTTCTTAGGTTTAGGAATTTTTTGGTGATTCCTTCAGATTTTCTACATAGACAATCATGTTATCTGTGAACAAAGACAGATTTATTGCTTCCTTCTCATTCTATATCCCGTTTATTTCTTTTTATTGTCTTATTCAATTAGCTAGACTTCCAGTACAATGTTGAAAAAGAACTGTGAGAGAGAACATCCTTGTCTTGTTCCTGATCTTAGCAGGAAAGCTTCTCGTATCCTCTCATTAAGTATGATGTTAATTATAGGCTTTATTGTAGATTTAAAAAATCAGATTAAGGAAGTTCCCTTCTCTTCTTAGTTTTAGGAAAGTTTTAATAATGAATTGGCATTGGATTTCATCAAATGCTTTTTCTGCATCTCTTGATATAATCGTGATTTTTCTTCTTTAGCCTGTCTGTGTGATGGATTAGATTGGTTTTTTGAGTCTTGAAACAAAACACATAATTTTTATGAGTTAAGAGGGCTTCCAATGAATAGACTAAATTAAATCATACATGTACTTTCTGCAACGCATTTTTAACATTACTAAAAGTCTGTTTTGTCACTTTTTCAGAAACAATGGATCCTTACAGTGGAATTTTGCAATCTTGCAAAAATATTATGGAGGGTAGTTGTCGGTATTTTAATATAGGAAATGGCATATTTTCCCTCCCCCAATCAGATAATTTCTATTCAGGTTCAAGAGGGAAGTACAGCATCATAGTGGAAGTTTCATTATATTGAGTAGGCTTTTAAAAGTTTTTCTTATAAAAGTATTTCTCTGACATACAAGTTATTTTATTTCTAACAGTATTTGTGATATTTAAGAGGTAACAGTACTTAGAAGTAGAAGTTCTTAAATACTATGTCTAATTGCCAAGTTGTATAAACATTTGATCACAACAAATACATTCTTTGGGCTGTAAAGCAGAATTTCCATCCCTGGAGACTATTTTAGTCAAAGCCTCTACTATTTTACACAGTCTTTTTATAGATAGATTTGTTTTGGAAAGAGAATAGGGGATAATCAGATAAAGATTTATTCAATCCAGATAACAGTATATGTACTTTTATTTAAAATAAAAGCAATATGGCACAAAAATTCTTAAAGAATTTTCATTCTTCAGAAAATCTAGCCTAGTGTTTCACCACTCTGACTGCACATTATAATCAGAACTTGGTGGAGGAAAATAAAAAAGACCAGTGCCTGAATCCCACTCCCAGTGTGTGACTTAATTGGTTTGAGGCCAGACCCATGCACTGACAATTTTAAAGAGTACCTTCAGATGATCCCTTTTGTGCAGCTTGGTTGAAAACCAGTGATCTTAAACCAAGTGATTCATTTAAAGCAGATATAATGAAGTGGGTGACTAATATAAACTTGCTCATCTTGTAGCTTTCTAGAGGCAGGCAGCCCAGCTACACGTTTTCTGTGCCCCTAACTGCTGCTGTTCTTTCATCTGGCACATTTCCCTTTGCCCTAATGAGGCATGCTAGGGAAAAGAGGTAAAATGTGGAAAAAAGGTTCTCTCTGCGTTATTTCTCATGAATTGCAATTGTAACATTTGAGTAGGAGAAGAGGTGAGGAAGTGGAAATTAAATCACAGGCCAAAATAAAAATTTGCATCAATTTCGAGATGTCATTGCAAAATA